TCAAGCACGGTCAACGCCGGGCCATGCTGCTAGTATCTTATAAAAAGACCAGCGAATATCCTAATTTCTAACGCCAACATAAAATTATAGTCTAAGCACCTTTAGTAATGTGATCTTTTGAAAGCTTGTTTCACAAACACATTTTCTAATTGTTCGATTCTCTATAGATACTCAAGATACCAACGAACATAATGATGTGAAAATATAGCTCAAGATCGAGGCATATTAACTTTGGACAATGTGAGATCAAAGGTTAGAATTTGTAAATAAAAAAATCTAGACATTAATAATTGGAAATAACTGGAATTGTATTTTTTTAATTGTACTAAACAATGCTAGATCTGTCCGGAAAATATCCAATCATTTAATATTAACAATAAAAAAAATAGCCTCCCTAGGGCAATATTATCTCAGTCCACTTCAAAGTGCTCTCCATGAAATGCCACTTATCCCAACATCTTTTTAATTCTGAAAACAGTCTCGTCCCATTGTCTTTAAACTTGTCAATTGATACCTCCCTTTTAACGTAAATGAGTCACAAAGATGCTAAATATGGATGATAAGGCTTTGACAGTCGTGAATGTTGTGACATAAAAAAAAACACGTTTGAGACATGCAGCCTCTAATCGCTCCGTCATTTTGAATACGCCTGGAACACAGTACATAAGTTCATACGATGAAATATAACTGACAAACCCCAGAGTAAACTGTGAGTTCACGCATGCGCAGTAAAAAATTGTTTTCCTAGTTACATCCAAGAGCGCGAAACCTATTCTTGAGATATTTTAAATGTTTGGATACTTTCCGCACATATCCTGTATATAAAAAAAAAATACAAGAAAAATAATTTTAAGCTCTTGTTAAAATCTATTTTCAGATTCCTACAATGTCATTTCTCAATACTTTCTTCTCACGGCCATTTTAACTATACTGACATGTCATGGTGAGTGGTTTTCATCATTGAAAAAAATATTTAAACATTCTTGTTTTTAAGACATTTTTATGTTTATACATTCTTTTTATAGATACAAATATTTAAGTAAATTCTCTGTTTTATAATAAACAGTATTAACAACATTTACCGGCCTGAATGTCCGAGAAATTGTTATAGAAAATATGCATCCTCCGACAGGAATCGAACCTGTATCCTATACGGCAAATGTTGTTAATACTGTTTATTATAAACAGAGCATTTACTTAAATATTTGCATCTATAAAAAAGAATGTATAAACATAAAAATCTCTTGAAATAATTGTCGGACTTTGTCCATTTCATAATGTGTGACGTCATTTGTTTACATTTGGATACGCATCGAGCAGATATGAATGTACGTAAGAAAATCATGGAAAATTGTAGTTTAAAAACAGTAAAATCGACTTTGTTAACCGAACACTCCTCTGTGGCGAAATCGGTAAAAGCACGTCAGGCTATATGATGGTTCCGTATAGGATACAGGTTCGATTCCTGTCGGAGAACGCATATTTTCTATGAAAATTTCTCGGACATTCAGGCCGGTAAATGTTGTTAATACTGTTTATTATAAACAGAGCATTTACTTAAATATTTGTATCTATAAAAAAGAATGTATAAACATAAAAATGTCTTAAAATAATTGTCGGACTTTGTCCATTTCGTTTTTGTTGTTGTCTGAAGTGTTTGTTTTTTGTTATCAAATGAAATGGGTATTTTTAATTAATTTTGCCTTGTTTTTTTCATTTTATAATTTTCTTTTATCACAACATTCCAGGTCAACACACTCTTCAACTAATATAAGTGGCATGAAATCGGAGTAAATGTGGTATATCTAAAAAGAGCTTATAATAGATAGACATCTTAACCAGAACGATCACAAAAACATTATGGTTAAACAGGGTTAAAATCTATCTTTGCAGTACTAGTTTTTCCTCCAGATATTTTACGCTATATTATTTGTTTACAACCATGTAGTAGCAGACATAATAGTATTAAGTTGTTTCAGTTCTGAGATTAATAATTTCCATTATCAATTTTAGAATAGTTCTTGTTCATTTAGTTATTCGTTTATCAAAACGTTTTTGATCGATACACCTTCCGAATGTCAAAAGAAACAATGCGAAAATGGCAGAATAACTTCGAACTCTGTTTAATCATCACGTTTTCATAACCTAAATGATTCAAGTGCTGTCCATTAATATTTTCTTTTATCATTTCACTCCAAGAAAAGCGATATGCCACTAAGTCACAAGGGTTTACTGGGAGTGAAAGAAAATGAGAATATTTTAGGAGAAGGAAAAGGAAACCCAATCCAAAAAAGGAAACAAAGTATACACCTCTATTCCCACTCAAAAGACAGAGAAGGAATGTGAAACGGACGGCCATCTATTGTAATCGGAAGTTATCTGTCGAATCAAAAATGGACGACAAAAACAAGGCACAAATTAAATAAAAAACGATTCAATAATTAATCATCCACGTCTTTTATAATCTGAAAAAGTTCAATTTTTTATATCACCTATCGAGTTTTTATAACATCAAAATTAAGAATCGAGATTAAAGTCCTGTCGGGGGCGACATAACATAAGTATTTAAAGATCCAGATTGTATATCAAAGTCATGGATCGCAAAGAACGCCGCAAAGACGATAGAACATCAGTTTGTGAGGATCCAGATTTTATAATACATCCAAATCAATCATCAAGATGAACGTCGTCTCGGGGAAGATAGAACATAGGTTTGTGAAGATCCAATTTTTATAATATACCCACATCAAGGATGGAAAGAAGCGTCGGCACAGGGAACAATAGTACATAAGTTTGTGAAGATCTAGATTTTATGGTATATGAAAATCAAAGCTCGAGATGAATGCCGTCTGCAGGACGATAGAACATCATTTCTGAAGCCTTAAAAAATCAGATGATGATCAGATTTCATTAAACATTTCAGAAATTATTCACTAATAAAAAAAAATATTTTATTTAAATTTTTATTTTTTATCTTGGAGAAATATTTTCATGTTTATCGTTGAATTAAATTATTCATGCACACACCAAACGTTCATATACAAAATAAATGAATTAAATTAAAATGAATATCTGTTTTGCGTGTCTCTCCCCGTCTGGCAACAACGCTCGGTAACAGGAAAAGTGTTTCCTTCAGTATTTAAACTGAATATATTGTTTTAATAAATGTAGTATTTTAGATGGATGAACAGGACTGGGATAGATAGATAGATAGATAGATAGATAGATAGATAGATAGATATGAACAGACTGAGATAGATAGATAGATAGATAGATAGATAGATAGATCGAAAATTTTGATTATCTTCCTGTCAGAGAAGCGGCGGTTTGCAAAGTATTTAAAGTTTGGTCAATTTACTGAGACCATGAAAAGTAATTAATAAGAACATCTCCGTGTAAAATTATTTCAGACGATTAAACCGAAGCGTTTAAACGGGTTTTTTTGAAAAGTATAATAAACTTAGTAATTTTTTTCCATGTATTCCTTCTTAAAACTTTAATATTTTACCCTTTTCAAGGTTTTCAAGTTCTGTACAACTTGCATTAAAAAATAAACGATTAAATATTGAATAGACCGAAATAAATATTTACTGCCGAAACATTTTAATGGCGTTTTTATTAGTATTATTTTAATCCTTACAACTATAAAAGTTATTAAAAAAATAAGATAAAAAATATTTTGATTTCGGGACAGTTTAAATTTGGGTGGTGGTTGTTTCAGGACCGTTCCAGGAAGATGGTAAAATAGTTACTCTGGAGCACTGATGAAAATATTACGAAATCTTTGGAACAACCGTAGGAAAATGCAAAAGAAATTGAGGGATACTTCCTATTATTGTATGTAAAATTAAATAAAACTCAAACCAATATATATATATATATATATATATATATATATATATATATATATATATATATATATATATATAATCATCCACAGAGGGTATCACAGCACTTCAGTGTGGCTAGACGTCTGATTGCTTCATACCGATCGAAACCCGACCAATTTTGTATTAATCAGAGAACCTACCCCTAGGCTATCTTCGCACGGCAGAAAGAAGGGATAATTTTGACGTTTTTATACGAAACACGCCAGTAACCAGGATAGCTCAATTCATAGTTGAAGAGCAATGCATTAATAGCAGTAGAAGCTACTGTTTTTGAAATTACCCTTTTCTCTATAGTGCTCAACCGGATTTCCCGAGAGCATGTCACATATAGTCATCCACAGACAGACTGTTTCGCTTTATCACAGCTCTTCAGTGTAGCTAGACGTCCGATTGCTTCAATCATAAGAGGTTTAACAGCAAAATTGTCTAAATCGTTTAACGACATAATTGTCCATCCCACAAAATGTTTAATATCTAAAAATCATTGACAAACCCTTTGAGTTATTCAGCTACAAAGAGAGCAGGTTAAAACTGTTTTATATCAGCCCCACTGTGACTTTCCAACTGAGCAATGATGAGAGGAAAAAGATTATCCTTCTGTAAAACAATATCTCTGTTGTCTCGTTTCCTTTTCATCTGTGAAAAAATTGTTTAACGTTCACCGCCATATAGGAGAACTGACATAACATTTCAGTGTGCTCATTGTATTTTGTTTAGTTTTTGGAAGATATCTTTTTTTGACAGGTGTCTTTCACAATTCCAATACAACTTCGCATTTCTGTATCACACTTTTCGTGGTCTGTTAAAACCCTTTCTCTATACCTATCATTCCCACGCTGGCTCAGCTAATCAAAGTTAACTTGTTTTGTCTTACATCGGACCTCAAGTGTCAACCACAGGAAGTCCGAGCAGAGATACCATTCCTGTTAAAAATAATAGTCTGCTAAACTATTATTTAACACTTTCTTCCTGCTAATCTTTACTAACTTGTCTAGTAGTTCCTAAAGTTTTCTTTCTGTTTCTACAATCAACGGTGTCATTTATTAATCTTACACTGTTAAGCTTGTGTCCAACAATAATAATTCCTGGTAAAACTTCTAGTTTTCTTGCCTACGGTCAAATCATGCTAAAAACACCTATTCCCGTTCGATCATTGAAGTTAAGCATCGTCAAGCCTGGGCAGTACTTACAAGGGGAACTGCTTGAAAACACTGGTCACTGTAAGCGACTTACTACAAATATGTACCAGCTTTAAATAACCCATGAAGGGTTGATAAGCCGTAAAATAAATCAATCAAATTTGGTACCTCGCCGTATAAGTTAAATAAATAGTAAATACCTACGTAGCTGTAAATGGGGATACCTGTTATATACCGTTATTTAGCAAGCGAAGTCTAGAAGTTTCTTTTAATAGGTGAATACATTCAATGTTTTCCAGATGTCCCACTACTGTTGCCTTGTACCAGACTAAAATTAACGTAGAAAATATTTAAAGAAATCTTGTTATAAAACGTTATCGAACGTCGTCTCTTGTTTTTTTTTTATGCTACGTCACTCCAGGATGTGAACTTTCATGATTCTCCACAGTTGCCTTCACTTTTTTGATCACGACTCTTCACATCTTTTTCTTTATTTTCTGTGAATTGCCATGCACTTTTGGGAAATATATGAGAACTGTTTCCCGTTGCTCTTTCCACAGTTTGGAATTCAGAGATTTTCTTCTCTTAGATAGGTCGCCATCCAAATATAGAACGCCCAATACAGTCTGCTATTTAACCTATAGTGAGGAGAGGTAATGGAAAAACGGAATGAAACTAAATAATGGCAGATTTTAAACTCGCCTTTCTGATTCCTCTTTCTGCGACAACATATGCCTATTGTTACTTCCCACTTTGACAGCTCTGACTAGCTATCCCAGTAGATGAATGTCGAATGGTTCCACTCTGCGACCGATGTGGCCAAATATACTCTTTTATGTGCACTTATCGTCAAAAATACTTAATCACTTTAGATGAGCGTGTACTTTGCTTTCAATGGATGACATTTTAGCATTGACGTGTTATATTGACAGCTACTTTTTGAGGACACGACACATTTTTGACTATATCGCATATTATGTCTAGTATCAGTTCAACCTATGAGATTTTTGGGGTACCATGCCATGTAACTGCCCTTCGTAGCATTTCTCGGGGTAGTGAAAATTACTTGATGGCACCCATCTCCTCTCTAAGAAACAGGTAACAGACTGGGTTCTATTACGTGATACCAGCAGCAAACGGTATTCATTGACCTGGCTAATTCTTGGGAAAATACTGGAGTGGTTTTCTGTTGCATTCTTCATGGCTTACAATTCAGAATAATCATTTGCCATCCGCCTAGCTATTTAACCCATACTAGTGGCAGAGATGAATTCATATCTTTTCCAAATGCAAAAATTAGTGCGAAAATGAATGCAATCGATTAGAGCAGAATTTGAATTCGGATTTCCGATTTCCCTCTCTGCGCCGATATCCTTTATACTACCTGCACATCCGCATAGTGTTATGTTCATGTAGTAAATACGAACTTCGGTAGACCTTGTGCTAAACCAAACTAAGTAAATATTTAGAAATCCGTAATTCAAAGAATTTTTATTATGAGTATTGTGTAAATTTCAAACTAAAGAAAAAAAAACAATGTGTATAATGAAAAGATGTTGAAAAAAGGCTAATAGAAGCGATTAGATAAATAGATAGATATATAGATAGATAGATACAAAAAGAATGAGATAGATAGATACGAAATGAATGAGATAGATAGATAGATAGATAGATAGATAGATAGATAGATAGATAGATAGATACGAAAAGACTGTGATAGATAGATAGATAGATAGATAGATAGATAGATAGATAGATAGATATGAACAGACTGAGATAGATAGATAGATAGATAGATAGATAGATAGATAGATAGATAGATACAAAAAGAATGAGATAGATACGAAAATGAATGAGATAGATAGATAGATAGATAGATAGATAGATAGATAGATAGATAGATAATGGAAAGAAAGACTTAGATAGATAGATAGATAGATAGATAGATAGATAGATAGATAGATACGAAAGACTGAGATAGATAGATAGATAGATAGATAGATAGATAGATAGATAGATAGATACGAAAAGAAGAGATAGATAGATAGATAGATATGAACAAAGATAGATGATATAGATAGATAGATAGATAGATAGATAGATAGATAGAAACAGAATTGCATAGATAGATAGATAGATAGATAGATAGATAGATAGATAGATAGATAGATATGAACAGATAGATAGATAGATAGATAGATAGATAGATAGATAGATAGATAGATAGATATGAACAGATGATAGATAGATATATAGATAGATAGATAGATAGATAGATAGATAGATAGATAGATAGATAGATAGATAGATAGATAGAAACAGAATTGCATAGATAGATAGATAGATAGATAGATAGATAGATAATTCGTGTACATTAAATTCTTGCATAACGCATCATTCACTCATAAATTCTGATTTGCTAAGCAGTCTTTTTACAGTTCCATTCATCGTGAAAAAATTTCCTTGAAAAATTTGAATATTTTCAAAAAAGTAAAAGGGAAAATAAAATGAAAGAAAAATTCAATATAAACTTTAAATTTGAGAATTTAATTTCGCTTAATAATTCTTTAATGAATTCATTTCACCTCCGAAGTTGTATTTTGCCGGATTTCATTTTGGAATTAAAAAAAAAAAAATGAGCATTTTTGCATTTTTGTTTTTTAAATGTTGCTGCGCGCGTTCTTTCGTTCTCTGAGTAGTCGTTCCTCCAACCAAAATGATCACAGAAATTCAGGCCCCAGGCGTTTGAAATGCCACATAGGCCAATGGAAGCGTTGCCATTGACTCTCTGGGGACGACAATTCCACTACAAGGGCTTCAGCTTTTGATGCCACAGGCGAAAGTACATTTTCGTCTGGTTTTTAGGCGGAAAATTTATTAGTAATTTCCTTCTTTTTCCTCACTTAAGTTCACAGTACATCTCTTTTATGCTCTGTACGTAAATATAAATAATGAATACACACACAGACACAGACACACACACACACACATATATATATATATATATATATGTGTGTGTGTGTGTGTGTGTGTGTGTGTGTGTGTGTTTATATAGATAGATAAATAGATAGATGGACAGATAGATAGATTCAAGTACATAACAATGAATATATGCTTTTATGTGCATTAAAATTGGCGCCCGCCTGTCTCTCTGTTACATAAATATATATGCATGCACACACGCGCCTGCGCGCGCGCACACACACACACACACACACACACACACACTCACACACACACACATATGTGTATGTGTGTGTGTATTAATATATTTTATTGATATACTTTATTTATATAGACACAAATATTTAAGTAAATGCTCTGTTTATAATAAACATTATTATAAACAGAGCATTTACTTAAATTTCTGTGTCTATATAAATAGCGTATAACAATAAAATATATTAAAAATTATTGCCGGACTTAGTCCATTTATATTTATATATATATATATATATATATATATATATATATATATATATATATATATATATAATTTATATTATGCAATCTTTTTCTGTTTATTAAAAATATTTGTGCGTTTGATATATATATATATATATATATATATATATATTTCATATATATACCTTTATATCTATATTTATATATATATATTTCATATATATGTACACATATATATGTGTGTGTGTGTGTGAAATAACGATATATATTTTTATATATCAAGAACAGTATTGGGGAAATCGTATCACAAATTGGAGGAAGTTTACTTGTGACGCGTTTCGTTCTTCAAGTCTTCATCAGACATCATTTGTTATTTTGGTTGAAGTAAACATGTGCACGAACGGGAGATGCTGGGAATTTTAGATTTTTTTATTTATCTAGTCAAGTTTTTTTTTTTTCTTTTTCTTTCTATCACTATTATAAGTAGATATTCCACATACTGTGATATTACAGGATCTGCCAGGAATGGTGAAATATGGTAAGAGCGAGAGTGCAAATTTACTGTAGATGACCTAGATATTTACGCCGTAATTAATTATTTTCTCCTTTGATCAGGTAACATTTTGTGGTCAAGCTCGTTAAAAAAAAAAACGCTCCTTCTATATATCAGTGAATGCAGCACATTTTCCTCACAGATGAAGAGAAGACTCGTTCTACAGAAGGATGATGAGAATACATGAGAGTATGTGGGCAACGATGATGCTTTAAGGAAAATGAAAACAAAAAGGATCTTACACTCAGGATCAGAAATTGATAGATGAAATTTCTGGGATATAATGAGGAAGAGTAGCTTGGAAAATTTGGCACTCACAAGACATTAAATGTACAGGGGTCAGCGGCGGGATAAGTACCTGACGAGGTTATGTGAATGGATGGCAGATGGGGAAGTAGGAGGATTGATGAAAAATAAATATTACTAAGAGCTACAATGGAGAGGAAATTGGGAAGAGTCATGATCGCTCACATTATGAATTTTTTAAGATTCTTCAGTAATTAAAAATATATTTTTAAAATGAGTTTACATTGTATCCGTCATGTAATTTTATTTCAATTATCTCCTCTTTACTTAAATTACTAAACACCAGGCTGTCAACATCGCATAAACACATACCTCCATCTTAAAAATGTTGTGATATTTTGTGCTAAATCTAAGTAATATTTGTTTCAAATCAGATTAATTAAACTTTAAATCGATTAGTAGTATTCAAATAATGTTTCAGAATTTAATTTTTGAAAAATATCTCTTGATATTGAGCTCTTTATTTACAAAGACTGCTTGACTTAAAACCATTATTATCTCAAAGTACTCGGTTATACTTGTTTTCTTTCTTTTTTTTTTAAACAATCTATACAATCTATCTATCTATCTATCTATATATATATATATATATATATATATATATATATATATATATATATATGTATACATATGTGTAGATGTGTGTGTGTGTATATATATATATATATATATATATATATATATATACGCACACACTCCTGTAGTTCACTGTTACTAAACAGCAGGAATTTTTTTTCTCCTGATAATGGCCATGCTGACCGAAAATAGTCGAGGAACCTAATTTAAATAAAAATAAATATTAATATACAATCCAGTATGTC